TGGCTTTACATTCCAACAGGAATACACATTAATAGAAAAAAAAACTTGTAGTATTAATTCCATACAAACTAATGGGGTGAAAAAAATTATATGTTTGATAAGAAAAAGGTATTGTTATTTTGTCCAAAGTTATAGGAGTATCTACCATTCATAGATTGTCACCTTGTTACATCTCTTTCTCCCATGATAATGTTTTAAAGCTAACAATGGTTCATCTCCCTTTTATCTTGGGATGTCGGTTATTATGAAAGGTTGCACTCAAGTACATGCACACGACATGTCCACTGACATTTTAGCTTGTCAATAAATGTATTAAATTAATTGGAGGCTTCAGTATTGTGTTTGATCAAATTACTCTAGAAGTGAGGTGCACATGTTGATGATATGCAGTTCACGACATGCTATTAGATATAGAACCATCCTTGAATATATGCAGAAATGATTATTGCCCTAAATTAAATGCGATGTTGAACTGATGTATGTCAAGGATTAGTTGACATCAAAGTGATATATTAATGCAGATTTTCATGGGCACAAAAAACGCCAACATGCTTTCCTCTTTCCAGGTAACAATGCAATATGACAAAAAGATCAAACTTCTTAAAACTATATTTGCTTTTTTCATGAAACCATAATTGAGAAACCATTTCATGAAAACCTCACTTATTTTTGTATAGTGATTCACAAGAATTATTCTAGAGGAGTGCTACATTATATTTCCATGAGCCAGATAAAAGCTAGTTGAACTTTGATTTTGTTTTTAACTTGTCACGTTGTCATATAATATACCTTGATCCATTCTTTGGATGCTTATTATTTGAGTTGTATATCTCTAGTACTTGACTTCTACTTAAAACCCAATCACTTCTGATTGTGTTGTTCCACCATGAAGAACCATTTGTTTGTTCTAGAAAATTTGCCCATGTGGCATCTAGTATATATATACACTAATATGTCAAAAGGAACAAACAAAGAATCAAGATTGTTCTGAAATTATGCCTTATATTCTATGTTTTTGTATCCAGCCCAAGACATGAATGAGTAGATGGTCCTTAAGAATTATCACAATACTAGCTTCATTTTCAAATAAATGTCACTATATATTAAATATGGTCAAATTTTATGGATTGACTACTAAGATACACAAAAGTACTATGGTTTGCTAAAAAAACATGATATTACTAGATATGTAAGGAAACTCATATATACTTTCGAAGCCATTCTACTTATTTATTATCGATACTATGTATTTATAGACCACGTCGATGTCCAAACAGCTAACAGAAAAGAATTAATAATGTTATATTGTGATAAAAGAACATAATCAGTTATGATCTTTTACATCGACCATTCAATTTATCATTGCATTATTTGTTATGTACATACACAGGTGATCAGATGGTGTTCTTCCTTCTGGACATTGTCATCTTTGTTGAGCTCATTTGGACATTCAAGCCATTTCTAGCCATTCCAGAGCAAACCTCCTGAAGTTGGCCTTCATGCTTCATCTCTACTACTGAAGGTGTTTTATTGTGGATGGATCGATATCGGATAACCATTGGGGTATCTATTTTCTTATGCAATGTGAGGGAACTATAATCCCATCTACTGTGTTACACAGTATAGTGCACGTACAATACAAGAATTCAGCCATGTCCCTCCATGATATTTCCAATGTATATACACACATGGTGTTTGTATAGCCATCTAAGTATTCCCAGTCTTGCTAAACAGCATGATCGACTAATTGTAACTTGTAAATAAACCATAATCTAAATGAAACTATATTGTCTCAGAGTTTGGCAAAAGAAATACTCTTATTGTAGGTTGCGACACTAAAAGCTAGAGAACATGCGGACATGGGCGGATTTGGGCCTACCCTTTTATGCTGTTTAATTTTTCATGGCCCGGTAATAGTTTTTAAGAGGTGGCCTAGTCGGCCCGCCTGCAACAAAGCACCAGTGCTAGGCGCGAGGCCCAGTCTTTCATCGCCATCAGCCTGCAAACTTGCTTGTCTCCGTCGCCCTCCGTGCTCCGTCCTCGCGCCAGCTGGTAGCCGCCTCCAGCCAGCCTCCCGGCACCGGTGGCTGGCGCACAAACACAGCTGGAGCTCCGTGCTCGGTGCCTCGGTGCGTTGCGAGCCGCACCAGCGCCGGCCTGGCGCAGGGGCGCAGCTGACGCATCCGAGCTGGGTGCCCTGACAGCGCGAGGCCCGACGGTGGGAGCCCCACACGGCCGCACCCAGCTAATTAATCACACATGTATAAAATATAATCTTAACTATAGCAATATCAAATGGAAAACTGACAATCCTTGTCGGCTGGCTAGTGCTTTCCGCCGCGTCAGTTTTTTGTCTACAAGAAAATATGAAATGAAGAGAGATCAAAATTAGATACTACTCCGTATATAATATTAACTTTGCTTCACAATTTTTATTCAAATTTTGATAAAATTGGATCATACTTATTCTTATTATGAAGATATAAATTGGTTTGTCTAATGAGCAATCTTTTTAGAAAAAAAAAGCTATATATTATGAATCACTATAATGTGGTAAGACTTTGTGTGCATTAATGTTTTCATAAAGCGCATTATTAATTTAGGCGTGGAATTAAAATATCACCTAAATGGCTAAATTTTGCGGTTATGTTTAAAATTTGTTGTCTATCACCACGTCTCTCGTCGTTATATGGCATAGTGTGGATCAGTGGATGGTTTGCTTACTTACGTAGTGGCCCTAGACGTTGAATTTGACAAGCTCCGCCACTGCATGCGGACGGGTGCTCGCAGAAGGACGGTGTGAAGCGAACAGACTGAGGTGCGCTCATGGGTGGGCAGGTGTGGGAGACAAGCAAGCCCTTGGGTTTCTTCAAACGGAACCTCTAGCACCCGGATGTCCACACATACAGATCGGGCGTTGGACGCTTTCGCGCTCATACTGCGCCTCCTTCACGTGGGGGCTCGTGCCACTCCATGTCCCGCGTTCACACCATCTCCCGCACCCGCACCGTGGCCCACGCCATTTCATGTCCCGTGCCCGTACCATGGCCCTGTGCGCTTCGTGTCCCGTGCCCGTTCCCGTACCATGGCGTCCCTCCACACCCACGCGCATGCAGGCGGGCCCAACAACTGCAGCAAGTGGCTGCTGCAAATGGGTCCCACTGCAACATGTGTAATACCAGGATCTACTTTTGCAACATTTAGATAAAGCACTTGCAACATACGTCCGAAACAATTAAAACACTTGAAACATATGTCTGGCACACCAGGAAAACACGTTTGTAGCCATTGCAAAACATATACAACATCCAGATAAAACACTTGCAACATACTGGCACACCAGGAAAACACGTTTGTAGCCATTGCAAAACATATACAACATCCAGATAAAACACTTGCAACATACGTTTTTTTCAGCATGCATGTATATGCCACGTTTAGATCTACTTTTGTAACATCAGATGAAACACTTGCAACATACGTCTGAAACAGATGAGACATTTGGGACATACGCTTGAAAACACCATTGCAACATGTGCAACATTCCGATCTACTTTTACAACATCGATATAAAATATTTGCAACATGCATCTGAAACACTTGAAATAGACGCTTGCAACATGCAATTTCAGCACAACATCTCCTTACTGCTTGAGAGAATGGAACCTCGTCGGCATGTGGAGTTCTATCCCGGCCGTCGCGGGTTGCACGCGGGCGACTTCCGCCCCGGCCACGGCGAACTGGGTAGGCGCGCGTGAGATGTCCGTGGGCGAGCTCCACACCCGGCCTCAGCGAGCTGGGCAGACGGAGGCGGAGGTCTTCCTGACCACCAACCAGGTGTCCGACCCCGGTGGTGGAGGTGGCAGCGGTCTCCCTCACCACGACAGGGGGGGGGGGGCAGTGCAGCCGGTGGAGCTCGTGCGTACGCGGCTAGCGGTGGCGCTCAACGCTCGTGCGTATGTGGACGGCGATGGCGCACGTGCGGACGCGGGCGCTAGCAGAGCTCGTGCGTACACGGCCAAAGGACGGGCGGTGCGGTGGAGCCGATGCGAATAGGGAAGATAAGATGTCGCTCTCTTTTTTATTATTATTTTTTGAAGAAATCGTGTATGCCAACGAGGGAAGCATGTCTATGGGTCAGTCCGTAGTCTAGCTAGCCGCGTCCGGACTGGCCGACGCGGAACGGACGTCTGTGGTGGAGCATTAGTGTTCTTGAAATTGCAGAGGAATCTATTAGCGGGGTAACCACCTATTTAGGTACAGTAGATTAGTCACATTTCTGCCGTACGTGCTCATCTGGTCTGATTTGATTTTCTTTGTTCTTCTTACTAATATATTGTGACTGATTGACTGAACACTGAACTGGCCGTTCCGTCATATATAAATACAATACAATTGCGGATGCATTTTCTTGTTTGTAGACAAAGGCCTTGTTTAGATTGAAAAAAATTTCAACCTGATGAATAGTAGCGCTTTCGTCTTATTTGGTAAATATTGTCCAATTGTGGACCAACTAAGCTCAAAGATTCATCTCGTGATTTTCAACTAAACTGTGCAATTAGTTATTTTTTTTACCTACATTTAATGCTCCATGCAAACGGCTAAAAATTGATGTGATGGAGAGAGAGTGAAAAAACTTGGAATTTTGAGTGTATCTAAACAAGGCCAAAGACTTGCATTCGTTCGCTCCAAAGAAAGAAAGAAAGAAAAATGAAAGGAGACTAGCTAGTTTTTTTTTCAGCTGATCAGATCTCGTTTAATGATCTTGAGAAGTTGGAACTTAGCTAGGCGTCGTGCAATAGATCGATCGGACGGTTGTTGGAATGGAACAGAACATAAGGACGGCAATACAGGCACAGCAGAGCATATAACATATAGAGGAGCGCCGAGAGACAGCTTCAGTGGCTGAGCTGCTTCCGTGAGATCAGTGTGTGGTGTTGGTTTTTGAGCAGAGCTAGCAGGCCAGGTGACGACCGGAAGCAGAAGAAGAAGGCATCGAGATGGACAGTGAGGAAAAAGCGCCGCTGCTGGTGCCGGTGCCGGCGCCGGCGGTGGAGGGTTGCCCCGGGTGCGCGATGGAGCGGCGGAAGGCGAGCAGCAACGGGAGGATCCCCTACAAGGAGTTGTTCTTCGTCGGCGTCACCTCCCTCGCCTCAGGTACGTACCCGTCTGTTGCATGCATGCACCTCCATCCATCTCTACTCACCAACAACTGAGTGACTGACAGTGACAGACTGACAGACATGCTTCTGCAGCATTAGTGATAGTGCATTTGCATTCAATTCAAACAGTATAATGCCATCTGGTCATCAACTGGGGATTTGGTTTAGTTCTTCACTAGACATGCAGATTTACATTCAGACAACTTACCTGTATCACAAAATTCACACCTAGTTGATGACTTGCGCTGACACAACACAAGCGGGCTTGGTTTCTGCTGTGCCAGCACTATAGCTGTTGCTGTGCATGTATGATGTATCGAGAGAGTAACGAGAGAGAGAAGGGGGCCAGAAAAGAATCGGGAAGAAGAAGCAGAAGCTGGGTATATATTTGCTTCTCAGAATTTGGGAGAAGCAGAGGAGAAGTTGGAGAAGCCAACCAGAAGCACGAAAATCGGTTGCCGGCGAAAATCCGCTTCAAGCGATCTGGGCCGTTGAGCTAGTTCGGTCGTCAGAGAATGCCTCCCCCGGCCGCTCGCTGGTCCGCCGGCGACGGAGATGAGCGTCGCTGGAGACATGGACGACGGAAGAAACAAAAGGTGGGATGCCAGCATGTATGTGCCCCACCTATGACAGGAACTCAAACGGCTAACATGCATGCATATGCATGTATAGAATGTTGCCAAGTACCAGTGCCAAGATCCAAAAACACTAGAGGTAGGACCCATGTCGTCGTAGGCTCGTAGCTGCTCCTCCACCACCTTCAGTCTTGATCTGATGCTTCCAGCGGAATAATACTAATATATAACATCAGTGAGATAGCTGTTCATAGCGAAAAAGCAAAGGCTGAAACTCAGCATACTTCATTAATCCGTCAGAAAACTTGTCTGCATTATATTCCACCTGAGATCCAACATCACGTTCAGGCATGTATATTAGACTCAGAGTCACAGGAGCTAGCTGGATGAGGCTCCCAACAGGAGCCCATGGTGTTGCTTTTACTGAAGACGAAGAGGGAATTTCTGAAACAAAAGATTGTGCAGCAACTATTCAGTATCTTGTAGTGAGAGCGTCCAACATTAGCCAGCTTGTTCACGTTGAGACTAATAACGAACATGCCTGCCTACCTTTCTGATCTCTGCATCATCCTACCTGCATGTGCTTTACTACTTTTTACTCCATCGATCGATCGATCGAGAACGTTGCGGCGTTCTCAGATCTGGCTCTGACAAAAGTTTTGTTTTTTCCCTTTGTGCCTTTTTTTCAGCTTTGCCAATCACGTGCCTCTTCCCCTTCCTGTATTTCATGGTATGTCATGTCCTCTTATCTAGTCATTAATGTAGAACTATATGCTACACTGAATGTGTTCCAGTCTAGCTAGGCTTGGGTCTTTGCAAACATATGCATGTGCATTTTGTTGTGAGGATATTATATTTCCACAGCCAAGCAGTTTCCTCAGTCTGAAGTCACTCAACCTAATGCCATAATTAACTTAAATGGATCATTATGTTGTCTAGCTTATGCTCATTGCTCATTAGTGATCTCTCTTTTCCCACTTTTAATTTCATACAGGTAAGGGACTTCCACATTGCTAAAACAGAGGAAGATATTGGATTTTATGCTGGTTTTCTTGGTATGGTTTTCGCCTCATAATCGATTTACAATTTTAGGCAAATATATGCTCCGAAAATGGAGTACAAATATTGTAGAAAATAAAGTAAAAGGTGAAATACTTATGCCACTGTTTCCAATTAATTGTAGCTGCATCATACATGGTGGGCAGAGGCTTTTCTTCAATTTTCTGGGGCATTCTCGCAGACCGTATTGGACGGAAGCCTGTCATCGCATTTTCAATCTTGTCTGTGTATGTATTACAGAAATTCCAAGTGTCAGATCATCTAGGATTTGGATTTCTATATTGATGCAGAAAGACTCAGTTTCATCTACCCACATGCATGCGTTCTGTAGGGTCATATTTAACACATTATTTGGTCTAAGTACAACGTATTGGATGGCAATTACTACAAGACTTGTGCTGGGTGCTCTAAATGGCCTGCTTGCCCCAATAAAGGTACTTCTAAATTACCAGTTCCAATAAAGTCATCTAGATTGCAACTCATGTGTTTAAAATTATAAAACAAGTATGCTAAATTAGAGGTTACATTTATTAACCATTTCAGGCATATTGCGTTGAAGTTTGTCAAACCGAACATCAGGCACTTGGACTCTCAATTGTAATCTCATCAACCAAGCTCTTTACTGTTTACCCACATAACTCTTTCATTTTGAAGATTTGTCCAACTGAGTGTACTTCAATCATAGGTGAACACGGCATGGGCTTTGGGTCTTATTGTGGGTCCAGCTCTTGGAGGTTACCTTTCACAGGTACCAGTTCAAAAAGAAAATAAAATAAAAGAAAAATATCTCATTTTCTTACTGCAGTATCCTTTTTTTCACAGCCAACTGAGAAATATCCTCACATATTTTCCAAAGATTCTGTCTTTGGCAGGTAAATCGTTCAAGCACAGCACATATTGTCTATTAAGGAATTACAAATTGCTAGGAATTAATGGTGCACATTGCAGATTATCATAGCTCAATTAATTGGATTTTGCAGATTTCCATATCTTTTACCCTGTCTAAGTGTATCAGCATTTGCTACAATTGTCCTCATAAGCTGTGAATGGCTTCCGGTATGTAACACTTTAACCTAACCAAAGCTCTGATCATTTAAATTTCCTTTAGGAAACACTAACACTAGTATCTGTTACATTTTTGCCTTTGTGTGCTATAGTTTTTTTTTGTTTCGTTGCGATGGATTTGCGGTCACACAAGAATGGACCGAGTTCGAACGATGATATACGTGATCGCCTAGAGGTAGCACCAATTGAAGAAAAGCTTGTCCAACATCGGTTGAGGTGGTTTGGCCATGTTCAAAGGAGACCTTCAGAGGCACCAAAGTGCATTGTGGAGTCCTAAGCCAAGCTAATAATACGAGGGAAGGTAGAGGAAGACCATAAATTGATATGGGGAAGGGAATATAAAAGATATTTGAAAACTTGGGATATACCTAGAGATCTATGTTTGAATAGGAGTACTTGAAAGCAGCTATTGAAGTGCCTAAACCATGACTTGAGGCTCTTAGTAGATTTCAACTTTAGTCTACCCCAACTTGTTTGGGACTGAAAGACTCTGTTGTTGCTATAGTTTTTTTCCCCAAACAATAAACATAACATGCAGCATGAGTGCTCTGCCCAAGATGTCAACTACTGAAGTGGACTAGTGTCATTTTTGTAAAAAATATGCTTGCCATGTATTCTATGCTACACTGACAAAACAATAAATAGTATTTACTTAACTTCATTCAAGACACACTGTTAAGCTATTATTATTACAAATATTATTGTGACTGTATTACAGGAGACTATACATAAACATAAAGTTCCCGAAATGGATACCAAAATATTTAAAGCATTGTCATCAGAAGAGGGTTATTGGGATCCACCTCGCAAGAAGAAGAGTTTGCTCCAGAACAGGCCTTGGATATCAACTATGCTACCTTACTGCATTTTTTAGTCTTCATGACACAGCATATAGTGAGGTAAAAAAATCAGTCTCTCAGAATCCCTGTCTTACTTAGTATATTGCTACTCAGTGGGGTGTTTTAAATTTTAAATGATATTTCAGTAAGCCTATATTCCTCATGAGTTGAAACATCTTGTCTGTCTAGTACTGCTTTAACTACTTAATTTCATCTTGTAATGTACATCTTTCAATACTAGATACTTTCCTTGTGGGCTGTGAGCGATCGGAAGTATGGCGGCCTTAGCTTCTCAACTGAAGATATTGGTCAGGTTTTTGCTATGGCAGGTATTCCATCCGTCTGCCCTCTGGCTCATAGGTGAATTTTATTTGTTCCTGAATCTTGAAGGCGGATTTTTGCAGTACGGTGTGCGTGTGTGCATGTATAGACACTGATATGGATTTCTCCTTTCATTTTCTTTATAACTGGGGCTTAATTTCCTCCCTACATTTCAGGTGCCAGTCTTCTAGTATACCAGCTTATCATTTATCGCTGGGTTCATAAAATTCTTGGAGCAGTGAACTCATCACGTGCATTGCATCTGTGAGTTGTCACCTATTGTGTCTTTTAAAAACCTATTGTGTTTTTAAAAAAAAAAAAGTATATTTATGATCATAGCTTAAATTTCAACTATGGTGTTGCAGGCTGTGTCTATACTTGTTCTTGCAACTTATCCCTTTATGACATACCTATCGGGAGTGAAACTTTCATTTGCTCTTTATTCTGCTGCCATGATGAGAAGTGCTCTTGCGGTAAGCCTTTTTTCTTTCAATTGTTTCTTTATAGTTCAAATTAATAAATGATAACTTTCTGAACAACTAAGCCAAAGTAGTGGCAAATGAATAGAAGTAGTTTTCCATAATTTAATAGTATTTAAGTCTACATAATCTTATTTTGCAACATATACAGATCACTGTCAACACAGGAATTTCCCTTCTACAGAATAATGCTGTGGTACGTATGAACTCAAGTGAATCATTTATTTTTGGGATAGTATGCTTACACAAATCAAACAAAACAATGTAATATATCTGAAACTAAATTCCAGTGCCAAGAACAAAGAGGCACCGCAAATGGTATATCAACAACTGCAATGTCATTCTTCAAGTCAATTGCTCCAGTAGGTGCAGGGGCTCTGTAAGTCATTATTTCTCTCTCCTTTTCAAACAATACATGAGTATCCAGCATTCAGCTAGTTAACCCGGTAGAATGTTCTTAGTTTCTGATGATGGACATATGTGTTCACTATGAGCATTCAGCTAGTTAACTGTCTATTCTAACTCTGAATGCATATGGGCCATACAGATTCTCATGGGCACAAAAACGTCAAGATGCTGCTTTCCTGCCAG